GTGTAAAAATAAGTGATGACATGAACCACCGGATGAACCGACAATAACGAATTTGTTCGTCCATAGGTACTGTGTTCGAGGAAAAAGAGGATTTTTAGAAAAAAAGAGGAAAAAGAGGATTTTTCCCCAAAAAGAGGCCAAAAAGAGGATTTATAAAAAGAAAGAGGAAAAAGAGGAAAAAGAGGCGGAGTGGGATGCCAGTAGTCCATGGAAGATGCAGCAACTTGGATATGACCATAATGGTCACCAGAGAGGGAAGACATATAATATACTCCATTACACATGTTACTGCTTTAAAACTAAGGATTTCGTGGTATAAAAGCCGATCACATAAAATGTAAAGCGAAAACGTTGAGATTCTGATGCGTATTTCTAGCATATTAATACGTAAAATATCGAATCCTAAGCAACGGGAATCTGAAATCCCTCAAGACCACCCGTACTAACTAGTCCCTTCTAGTATAAGACGTCAGAACACAGCCACAGTATCTGTCTTCTCTTACCCGTAACACTGCTTGCTGTCGCAGTTGCCGTTGACGATGAACGTGAACTAAGCCTGCGAATAAAGAACTAGTTCTAGACTGCAATAGATGTCATGGATACGTAATGACTTACCAGAGAGTCGTCATTACAGCCAGTGGTATACCACACAATATGATGCCAACCATCAAAAAGACGATATTCGTCGACGTTAACTTAGCACGTACGTTACCCATACTACACGAAGCACTATAAAAAGAAAATAGACAATTATTATGAACAGACAGTCTCTTGATTGTTACTTCAATGCTTTTTCCCCAATAGCCATATCCGCCTTGTTTATCTGATTCACATTTTGAGGAGCCATGCTAGCATTCGATCGAACCATCTGAGCGGCGGAAGGAGATTTAAACTGTGGTTCAATGTAAGAAACTCTTGCTGCAGAATGCTCTTGTAATGTTGGATTCCAACTAATTGTTCGATTCATTAGTCGTTGCTCTTGTTGGTAACTTCGATCAGGTATATTACTTCGAGCAACCGGTAACAGAGGATAATCACTTTGTTTCGGTGTTGCGTAAGAATACAAAGAATCTTCATTCACATCCTAGAACCCAACATAAATTTCAAAGATGACAAATGGCGATGTTTAGGTCTACTATATACCATTGAGTCTACTGCTCGTGGTTACCAATTACATGAAAATGACAACAACAAAACAATGAATGTCTGTCATTTGAAAAGAAGACCTTTGTATATTTTTTATAGCGTTTATAGAGATGTATAACATTTGTAAGACTTTTTTCATAGCTTTTCCACCTAAACCATTAATCAGCTCTCAAGAAAAACTAAATCAAGATAAACAACAGTTGTTGTTTTTAATTAAAACCGTGTGGTACAAAGGTAAAAATATATTGTCGACTTATTATATATTTCCACAAAAAGAAAGACAAATATATTTGCTCAAGAAAATTTGTCCTTTCATGAGCACATCTGACTTTTTGATTTAATTTTGTTACTATTATTCCGATCGATGGATTTCGGTACATGAACGATTAAGCTATGTACTGTCATAGAACAATTCACCATTTTCAAAGTCGTTTGTCAAGGCGCATAATTTTCAAATATCATTTTTACGAAGATTCGGCAGAAAAGCGTTTGCTAGAAGTGTTGTATCCGTGAAGTTCTTACGCTATTTCGAGTAAGACTAAGCGTAAATCGTTATTCCTGAAAGAATCAAGTCACTATTTTGCTGTCTGCAGAACTTCTGAACCGATCAACTCAGTAGCGGATTCTTCCGTTGTAAATGAGCTGGTGTAAAAGTGGCTTATTTTAATTTACTTTTAAATAGACTTACGAGGGAACCTCCCGAGATGCCCATTTCCGATTCAAATGCTTTGTACATGGATCGATAGACCTCAATGAAGTAGTAAATACCCTAAAAGAATTTTCCCCTATGGCTGTTGAAGGCGCGGTTTTGTGAAAAGCCAGTTTTTCAGAAAATCTAATAAATAGCCAAACCCGTTCCTTAATGAGACATAATTATAGTCCGCACATTTCCGATTAAAATGAGACATCTCCCAACTCTACATTTCTTTGCAAAGTTATAGAAGAGAAGAGAAGCTCTAAATATGCATTGTCAGCTCAAAGCTACAGAAATAAGAAGTAGTTAATTTAAGGCTCCTCTTGTAAATTCTATAACTTTGTAAAGAAAGATCATGTAGAGCTGGAAGAAGTCTCATTTTAATTAGAAATGTGCGGGTTTAGACACATAGAGCAGGGGCGTAACCGGTATCAAAAACGCGATACCGGTACCGATCACCGGTATACAAATTTCGTACCGGTACCGATCGGTATCAGCTTGTCTTGATCGTGTTTTGCCTAAATACAAACACTTTTTCCTTGTTTACAGAAATATCTCATAGATGAACTGAATTTACACGATAGTTTTCGCCAAATCGTATCATACCACAAAATACCAGTAATATCGACCGATTGATTATACTTCATACTAATGCTGGTATACCGGTCGCCGTTATAATTCATACCGGTACCGCTTGCACCTCTGACACTTGGAATTTGCTATTTTATTGAAATTCGAAGGTGATGCAGTTCAGCCGAAAAACTGCAAAAACGTGGAAGTTCGTTGCGTTTTTTGCTTTGAAGATTTCTCGATGACAAAGCGGTAGTTTTTCCTCCGGTTTGCACCATAGGGACGTTCGAAGTCCGAGCTACAAAATCAGCTATTATAATCCCATCGTGAGTGTAGACAATCGCTGAACTTTTCCCTTTTCTCGGATACTTCAAAGTTCACTTCTGTTTTTGTAAATCCGTTACGCCAGGCATTTCGTCTTGCTTGGCGTAGCGTTCCAACGAAATCTATTTTTTTCTCAACGTTGGTAGAGCTAAGTGTCTTGTACAATTCTGTAGTAGAAACAAGTTCTCAAGTTCTTTTGCCTTTGAAGCGTCACGGACAAAGAAAAAGAGTAAATCTGTTACATTCAGAATGGCCGTATACATCTTCAACGAAAACTTTGCCGAATTTCGACTCATTTTATAATGAAAAACAAAAAGTTCCAGACAACTATATCCATTTTATTTTTCTCCTACTGACATCATTGGAAACTATTGTTTCTATAAAAAGTCTCAGCTAATTTCCGCTTCTAGAAACTCTGATACGCTCAAAACTTTTCTGAACGCCCGGCATTGATCAGTTCGGAGATCAGGTGTGCCCAACTATTGTCAAGACGCTTTGGTAAAAATACGGCATCAAAAACCGTATTCTTGAAAGCAATTTCATAGGATTGCTTGTGTGTTCCTATCTCTCGTGAAATTTCTTCATCCGTTCCCATTGTTTGACCAAAAGTTACCTGATATTTCTTTGTAACTGTAAAACACATTCAAAAATGGTGCGTATACATTAATTACTTCAACCAGAGATTGACTACCTTTAGTGATTAAGAAACAAAATCCTGGCAGGATACTAAATGTTAGGATCTGCTCCAGATTCCTGGTAGAAGCCTAACATCTCAGATCCTGCTAGGAAATTATTAGAATCCTACATCAATCATGATAGGAGGTAACAGGGTATCGAAAATGAATGTACTTTAGGAAAAAATTAGCTCATAAACATAAAAAATAAGTGTACAAATAGGAACACAGCTATGAACTTTAAAGTGTATTGATTAGAAATAAGAGCTATTAGCGGATGTTTTAGAAGAATAACAGAACTCTCTTCTTTTATCTGTCAAGAACGGGTACTATTGGATTTACTGCAATAGATATGCACTAAAATAATGTGTATTTTTCTGTTTGCAAAGATTGATGCTGACCACTTCGCATGTATTTTGTCATTCTAATCTTTCTGCGATCGTGTCAAAATGATAGATTCTTCAGAGCAACATGCCAATGATGAAGACAAGATTCCCGTTGCAGCAGGAAGATGGAGTGAGACATTGGAATTACAACGGATTCGGCTATAATCGTGTATTTGATAGTTTTGATTGCTATGTTAGTAATTGTGTCACAGGCGAATTTAAACGAGCTATTTTCGAATTAGAATGCAAATCGCCAGCACAAGGCTCATGTACAACTGAAATAGTTCTAGACAGCTTTGAGCTGTCTCACTGTCTGCAGAAAACGGTCTTGGTTATGAGGACTGTTTTATGTGCACAACGCTCTAGTCTGATTGAAAAGATCCAGAGGATATAGAGGCTCCTAATTTTTATGAAATATCTAGAACCTCTGAAAAAACAATGGATTTATACCGGCCAACGGTAACAGTTGATGGTGAAATAATGAAAAGAACAAATAACTATGCTTGACTGATAGCAGAACCTCTCGCCGAGAGTAATCATTACTCTTTGAGGATGCCCCATCGATATATTAACGAACAACAAGGGCGCCGAGCCTTTGGCTTTGAGCTGATAAATCAGCCAATTGACGAAATTCAATGCAACTGCATTCGGTGATATTACGTGCGGTATCATTCATTCACATATGCATGTTGCAACATTGAAAATATTGACAAACGAATTTGAAAATGGTGAATTGTTCATGCACCGAAATTCATTGATCGGAATAATAGTAACAAAATTAAATCAAAAGGTCAGATGTGCTCATGAAAGGACAAATTTTCTTGAGCAAATATGTTTGTCTTTCTTTTTGTGGAAATATATAACAAGTCGACAATATATTTTTACCTTTGTACCACACGGTTTTAATTAAAAACAACAACTGTTGTTTATCTTGATTTAGTTTTTCTTGAGGATTGATTAATGGTTTAGGTGGAAAAGCTATGAAAAAAGTCTTACAAATGTTATACATCTCTATTAACACTATAAAAAATATACAAAGGTCTTCTTTTCAAATGACAGACATTCATTGTTTTGTTGTTGTCATTTTCATGTAATTGGTACCATTTGTTTGGATTGAAATGTCTTGCAGGAAGGAAAGTACGACATTACTCACAACATTCGCCAGCTAAACAGCAAAATAAAACATATCGTTTTCACACGTATAATGACACAAATACAAACTTTACAGTACTGACATGTTAAGAGTCGAAAGATATCGAGAATTTTGTGGAGACTAATCTGCTTAAGTTCTTCACCATGTTCCTTTTTTGGAAAAGTGAAGCAAAATGTTCAGCAAAGCACAGTAAAAAACTTTCAAGTCATTATTCGCAATCAAATATAGTTGTCCCTGTCAAAACGTGACAGGTATAAATCTGTTCCATCTTCCATTGCT